GGCCAACACTATCCACTGAGCCAAACCAGTTAGGGCAAGCCAACACACATTCTTAGGTCGTTTAAAGAGTTTGTTTCTACAAGAACACATACAGGAGTAGATACAAATGCGGGATCATGGGAAGAATGAGATTGGGACCTTGTTTGCGGAGCCATGCTAGGGAAGGTGTGAGGCCGGACCCCGTCCTCGGGCAGGAAGAGGTCCAGGCTATGGTCTCACTGGGGTGGGAGGTTTGAGTCCTGGTTCCAGAGTGGCGCTGAGTGAGAGGGGCAGACCATCCTCTTTCTTGTCACAGAGCGCCCAAAAAGGCTAAACGAGATCATAGAAACAGCAGGTGGAACGAAATAAATAAAGTGCATGTGGATCAGCGTTCTTTCCCTCCCGGGGAGAAAGCTGGATATATACCAGTTCATTGGGGACCCAGAGTATCTTTTCTTTCTCCTTAAGGATCTCTCCGAATTGATGGAATCCCAAACATTACTCCTGACTCTACTGACCGTGAAGGTGAAAATGGAACCGCATTATGCGTGACCTGGGTGGAAGGGCAGCCTCTGTCAGCCAAGAGCTGGAGTCCCCTCCGGCCTGAGCTCTTGTTCTACACCTAACAGATGGAGAACAGCCTCGCAGCATTTGAAGAAGAGGCAGAAAGGAATTTAGTAACGATGTGCCAAGAGAAGAAGCAGCTCCTGAAAAAGGCCCACGAGCTAAAGCGCAAACTTCTCCTCTGTCAGAAGAAGCGGGAGCTGGTGGATGTCCTCAACCCCCAGGTCAGCTGTGGCAGGGTCTCTGAGCCGTGTGTCCCCACTGGTCATCGCGATGTCTGGAGGGATTATGTACAGTGTCTGTCACTCCTGGCCTGGCTCTAATTTTGTGCTTGGCTTTTGACACCAGCGGGTATTGGTATGTAACTGTTTATAAGAGGATGTGCCCATAAGGTTAGGTGCCAGCCTGCAGAGGGACCTGTCCTTTCGGCACACACATATCCTTCAGGCGCCCACAGCTGTGCCCAGTGACGGGAAGACATGCTTCAGGCCTGCCCAGGGGGCCAGGGTGCAGGTGGGAGGCACAGTCTTGGCACCATGTGGTCAGCGCTGGGACACAGTCGTCCACGCCACAGTCGTCATGGAGCAAACCCTTGGAAACCAAGGGCTGCTCAGGGGCGTAGCTCCTCATTCAGTGTATGCATGTCCCGGGGCTGCCGTGACGAAGTCCCACAGACTGGGCAGCTTCAACAGCGGACACTTACTCTTTCTCAGTCTGGAGGCTGGAGTCCGAGATCAAGGCGTCAGCAGAGTTTGCTCCTTCCAGGGGCTGTGAGGGAAGGATGTGTCTTGGGTCTCTGCTTGGCCTGGAGGCTGTCTTCTCCCAGTCTCTTCACTTGGTGTCCCCCCGTGTGCGTGTTTGTCTCCAGTTCTCTGCCTTTTACGAGGACATCGGGAATATAGATCAGTGCCCACTGACTCAGTTCCCTCTGTAAGGCCCTGTCTCCAAATCAGGTCACATTCTGAGCGGTTAGTGGTTTGGATGTCAACCGAGGAATTATGGGGTTCAGCCTGTGACACCCAATGGTGCACGTGTTCGTGCATGTGCCCAGGCTGTGGGCTGAGAAATGAGTGGAAGGAAAAAAAAAAAACAAATAATGAATCCTTACAGTGCCCTGTGATAGTGTGTATGAGGGAAAGGGGAGTTGGTGAGGATGGCCTTGAGGTGGGGCAGGCGTTTCAGCTCAGTGCTCCAAAGCAGGAGAGCACAGCCTTCCTGGGTCCCCTGTGATCCCAATGGAGGGCTGGCCCTGGAATGCGCTGGCAGGTGGATGCATGTTCATGGCAAGGAGGGTGGCCAGGAGTGAGGGGAGAGCCCACCCACCTGCTGAACCTCCTGGAGGATCCCTAGATCCCGAAAGAACAGCCTGTGTCTTACCCTCACATGTGCCAAGTGTGAAACTTCCGGGGCGGTGACTGCCGGTCTCGTCTCATCGGCCCCTCTCGCTCCTGCTGCAGATCGAGATGCTCAGCCCCTACGCGGCTGTGTCTGAAAGCTTCAAGGAGCAGTACAAGGCACTCGCGAAGGCCCTGGACACCACGAGGCATGAGCTGCCTGTGAGATCAGTTCACCTGGACGGAGGCGCGCAGAAGTTCTTAGGTAGGACGGGCATCTGCTGGGCAAGGAACGGGAAGAACTACCAGCGGGTTTGGCACTTCCTGTGTGCTGGCACCTTTATTCCTTCATGGCATCCTCACAAGCCTCATGTTAGATAGATGGCATGTCCCCCTTCACATGGCACAGGATGTAGGGTGCTGGCAAGACTGGTTTGTCCAGAGTGGCACCCCAAGAAAGAGCCATGCTGGGATTGGAACCCAGGCCTGTGGTTTCCTTGTTGATGTCCTACCCCCACTGAAAGGCATTCTTGGGGAGCGGCCTGCAACCCCACAGCCTTGAGAGAGGGGCTCTACTAAGGTGCATTGTTGATGGGGCGGTGATAGGGCTGCAGACCCCCACCCTCTGCCTTCTACACAGAGCCAAGGGGTCCCTTTCCTGCAGAGGGGTCCCATCTAGTCCTTCACCTAAAGAAATGGGCAGGTGTGAAGTGCTGTGCTTGATCTCAAAATTCTCTAGAACAGCTGTCTTCCCAAAGCAGGTTTTCAACTGCCCTGGAGTTTGGTTATTTCTAAGCAGAGCTCTCATGAGCCTCTAAATATGTTTTGCTGATGTAGTAAAACATCGCCAACCTAAAATCAGGCGGACTTTCCCTGCAGAACTTTGCACAAAGGCAGTTCAGGATCCCAAAG